TCCCACATCCTCCGCTCTGCCTGGTCACTGCCCCCCCCCCCCCGCATCACTGCTCCGCTTTACCCCGCCCCGTTCGTCACCGCTCAGCTCAGCTCCGCCACGCTCCATCACCGCCCACGTCTGCTGCGTCCCGCTTAGTCACTGCCCCGCTCTGATCCGCCCCACTCTCTTCTGCCCCGCTCTGCTCCGCCCCGCTCTGCTTCGCCCCGCTCTGCTTCGCCCCGCTCTGCTTCGCCCCGCTCTGATGCTGAACAGTTCTTAAAGATTAACAGGCAAGACAAGCACTCCGCACGACGTACGTGAGCGTGGGCGGAGCGGAGAGCTGATGGAGGATGTGGAATCTGGGGGTTAAACAACAATTAAATTGCCTCACTTGAGTTCGGATTTTTCTGCAAAGAAAGACACCCGCAGGGTTGTTGGTTGAACTCTGGACAGATGGAACTTCCTTACCCAGAAAGGAAGCTTGAGGAACTTCTCTGATGCTACCCTCATACTTGTCAAGAGACAAAAAAAAAAAAAACAGTGATCAGCAGAGAATGATTCTACACAAAACACATCTGATACAACTGCTGATGATGACTAAAAGATCATGGAGAGCATGAACGGTCAGCAGGGGCGCAGAGTGGGGTTTGCTGCTGTAGCTACCAGATCTGCTTGGTCCTGCCTCATGCCACGTTACGCTACATGATTGGCTGAACATTTCCACGATTATGTAAAACATTCTGGTTATCCAGACAATAGGGGTGTGGAAAAAAATAGATTTTGCGATAAATCGTGATATTCTGGTGCCCAAAACAATATCGATCTTTCAGTTTCTAATATTGGAACAAATTGGAATCGATGAGTGGGTCATTTGGTTCCATTGTTAGCCTGTAATATCTGAAACCTGTCTATGATTCTGAAGGTCGTCGTTAAAGGGGGGGATTGTCTCCTGTAATACCTGAAACCTGTCTCTGTCTTCTCTCAGATGTGAATAAATTGAAAAAACTATTGAGACTTTTTGTGTCACCTTGTTAAATGTCAAAGCTCAGGCTTAGAACGCAGTGCTTGCCTTCTAGACCGAGAATTTTTGCTTTCTGCTTTCGGCTACCTCAGGTCGCCAAAGAAACTTTAAATTATACCAAAAATAGGTAATAAAAAGTTGAAGCTCCAGAAGTGATCTGATTCTTAAGAAATGGATGATATACAGTTTGGAGAGGTGATATTGTGACATCATCAGCAGGGGGCAGGACCTCGAGCAGATCTGGTACCTACTAGGGTTGTCAAAAGTATCGATACTCAAAAAAGTATCGATACTGAAATGTTGTATCCGGATACAACATTTCAGTATCGATACTTTTTTGAGTTTCGATACTTTTGACAACCCTAATCGTGACAACCCTAGTACCTACACAGGAGGAGCCTAGGGCTTGCCCAGTCATTTGGACAATCGTTCCCACAGCCGCTGAAAGCTGAAACACCGGAGGTGTCGATTTTTTCTAAACTGCAGTGGAAATGTTTTTTTGCATCACATGCGTCAGGTGATCAACAGTTAGGCATTACTAATTTGTAAAAAAAAAATGAAGAAGAGCCTGAAAGGGTTGGTGGACGATGGTGCCCACTGGAGCCGTGTCTGAACTATGGATCTATCTACTGTGTTAACATCACAGCTGCCGTGTTGTTTTCTGAATTATTATGTGAGATAACTTATTCTAATGCAATTTTGATTGTAAAACTGCATCTTCAAATTTAGCAGAATATCGACATTGTTGATGAATTTCAGGATATTTCTGTTGTAGTTTTGCGGTAACAATAAAGAGAAAATAATTCCCTAGAGACACAATCATAGCATGTCCAATTAAAGAATGACTGCCATTAATTTGCAAAGAATTAAATATTTATAGGGAGAGGATTCTGAGAACACCTATAGATGTCCGTTTATTCAAAAATCTATCTTTATGTACGCCACAGCCATCACAGACCTCATCCATCCTCACATGAGCAGCATCACGCAGGGATTTAACAGAACTGCATACCAGTGAAAGAACATTGATGTGTGATAACAGCACTGTAGAAAGAACTGCACATTCAAACAGCAACTTAGTATTTAAAGGTATAGAGGTGGATGTTCTATTTCTGGGTGGATCATCTCAATCAGTGGTCCTCCTAACTGTCAATCATTCTGGTGATGTGTTTACGTAAGGCCGTCCTACGTTCTCGCCCTGTTAGCGATCTTTTTCTTTCAGGCATATATCTGTGGTGAGCTACGGTTTCAGTCATTGAAGCTCACCTTTCTCACCGCGGTTCTTTGAAAATGGCCGAGGGTCGGAAGAGAAAAAGTGTCTACGAAGTGGATGAGAAGAAAATAAAGGCCTCAGAAGAGGCAGATATATCCCAGAATGCTTTGTACAGAGTTCTCCTCGCTAAGCATTATGGGATTTGCTGTCACAGCTGTCCGCTGTCGCTACCCAACAGCGGCGACTAATAGCAAAGATGGCGCAGGCACCGCGCAGTGTAGGAGGAGTTACATGACCAACGGAGCAAAAAGCAGTGATCATCTGTCTGAACCACGGCTCGATGTGAACCATCGCCCAATCACCCGGGGCAAGTAGTTTTTATTGTCGGGAGACTACAAATTTCATTGCATTTGCCTGCCGGGCAAGTGCAATGATCGCAAAAAAAAAATTATTTATCACTCAAAATTACTTTAAAATTACAGACATTCGCTGAAAACGACCCACAAGTGTTGCCAGCACCATCTTTGTTGTTTTGTACACGTTCTCGCGTGATTTGAAAAAGCCGCTTGATTTTCCGCTAGATGGTGTGATTCAGCTCTTGAGGAGAGAATTCTGCAGAGCAGCAGCTGGATGATGAATTTAATCTATACTATAATACACGCTAGACTAAAAATGATTAGTCAGGGATCAGGAAAATAATTGTATTTGCGCAGTGTAAATATTTCTATCATATGGCAGTCTTCTGTACAGTGGTCTTACATAAAAAAAAATTCTCTTAGACATTGAAGTGGTGCATTTAAATGTTATAGAGCTAAACATGTTAAATTGGTGAGTAGTAATAGTGCAAGTCTTTAACCCAGTGGTTCCCAAAGTGTGGGGCGCGCCCCCTATGGGGGGCGCAATGCCATTGCAGGGGGGGCGCGGGAGGCGGTATGGATGAATGAAGAAAAAAAAACAAAACAAAAAAAAAACAGCGCTTGCTTGACTGAGCATAATGGACAGTTGTGACACT